TTGAAGTTTCAAATGTGTGAGTTATATACGTAATTGTTGAAACTATTAATTTTTTTCTATGCTATATACATTCGTATAGATGCGTGGTTTTGTTATGATTTTTTAATTCGTACCTTCTGATACTTGGCTATCGATATATCAATAAGACAGAACTATAAAGGTCCATACATTGAGCAAATCATGAAATCCTTGGCGGATTCTGAATTATTTCCAAATAAGGTTGTAAGTTATATTTTTAATTTATATCTCTGTTGCCTATTGTTTCTAAAAATATTTGATTCCTTAAAACTGTTTTCAAGTAAATAAAAGAAGCTGTATAAAGTACAATAATTAACAAAACACGTAATAATAAATAATTAGTCAATATCTAAATTTACCTATAAAAATACGTTTGATGAAACTCCAGGATTGGCATTCAATTTATCAGACGAAAAATTGCATTGACAGCTGCAACTTGCCTTAATATATTATGTATATATTACTTTGGATAAATTGTGTAACATACTGATCGATTTAGAGTTTTTTTGTAACGAGTTACCATGGCCTCCAGACGTTTAGATACTATAATATGTATTCATCCTAACTACATTGTTTATTATACCGTGTATGGGGTGGGGGCTGCTCTGTGCCTGGTACGATTTGCAAACCATACTTTACGGACAACACCGCCAGTATTGTACCTAATGAACGTTGAATAAGTAAAGCAATTGAAAGTTTCGCACGTTAATTTAAATAAATTCGTGGGTAAAATTAACATCCGCCGTGTGTATGTTTAAAAAATCCAACCAGTTAGTCGTGAACCGATCGTTATAAAGGTTAGCTTATAGTTCCAGTTTTTTTGCAGATTTCACAGTATCTCCGTATTTTAAATGTTGGTCATTAACCGTTTTGATAAATTATGTCGTCGTGGATTAAAAAGAACTTATCGTGTTTTCAACATGACAAACGCCGTAACGATTGTAGGTGCAAGTGCAATAAAAGTGTTGGTTCGATGTCTGATAAAAACATTCAATGTAATTTTGATGAAGAGTTCAACAGGCAGTGTTTTGGAAATCATGTGGATAATACGGGTTAGTGCGAGGGTTAGTGCTTGTATAAAATATATAGGTATCACGTGTGCAATGCTTGGAAAGTTCCTTTAAAAAAAGAATTAGTTCTCGTTCCTGTTCCTAAATATAGAACATTTTTCGTTCCTCGATAATTTTAAAATAGTATTAATATGATTTGTAGCGATAATTGTTTAGTTAGGTAGTTGTTTTGTTTTTAAAGTGATTAATTTGTTTATTTCATACAAGTTAAGACCATCGTGAATTCGTGACTGACTCGACATTTTTKTAAACATCGTCAATATTATTGTGTATTGTTGTATAATATAGCTCATTATAATATTGACTAATTAAAAAAAAAAAAATTAATAAATCTTGTCATAAAAACGATTTAAATTCCCTATATTTAAGAATATATAAACAAAAAAAGGAACAAATACAATTTTTCATGTTCTTCTAAAAAATGAACAAAATTCCTTTATGTTACTTTACTCGGAAAAGGAACTACGTTCCCGCTAGGTTCCTGAAAATCGAATAAAATCACTGGAACAAGTTCCTTCCAAGCATGTGTGTAATTAGCATATAATTTTTTTCTTTTTTAAGAAACCGTTTGTCTTGTCTAAATAATTTATTCGTTTCTTAAACTTAACAATTTCATGTTAAGTAATTATAAACGTTATATATATTGATTGTTGACAATTTAAAAACAGTTGTTTTGTATTTACAGTCGATATTAATTATTATGTTAAGCACGCGAACATATCATCTAATTGTTAATATATGTTTGAGAAAAGCAAATTTAAATGTTGGAACTACAAACCTCGGGGTGTCATCAACGGATGACTCTCCATTCACGTCACATAATATCTGATCTTATTCCATTATAGTCATGTTCATCGCGACTAAATATTACCTCTGAGTAGTTACTTTTTTCAAGCCTCATGCCTTCAGCCTTGTATGTTGTATGCATATTTTTTCTCTTCTTCTCTTTCTCCACATAAACTTATTGTAAGGATTATTTAAGATCGTATATTTCTGATTAGAAATTTTAAAAAAAGTGTTTGATTTCTCTTATTTTGTATTATAAGAACTATCAATAGAATAATCCAGAAAAATAATTGTTTTGCTCGCTTCATTAAGTATTAAAGTTCTAAAAAATAATTCTTCAAACGTCGTATATTATACAACCATTATTCGTTTTATTGTGTATAATATATATACCTATATATATTCCACCCCGATTTCATGTATCTAATACCTATCTATTATATTAACATATTACACAATTCATGATTAGTTTGTTACTACCTTAATTTTACGTACAAATAAGGATCTACGATTATTCTATTTGCAACTTTTGGCTGTCTAATTTATTGTTGTATAATAGTAATCTATTTATGTTTTATGACTAAACTAAGGCTGGTAGTATTTATGGTTACCGTTATTTGGTAATTACATTGATTCCTAAAAATACAGTACACGTTTATTCATAAAAATTATATCTTTTATAATCATAATAATAATAATCACCAACATAATTTTTAGAATTTATGTTAACTTCTCTTGAGTATAGTTTATGTATACATATTTCTGTTTTACTAAACCCCCTTTTTTGTTTTAACATAATATGCAATTTAGCATAGGCACTGAAAATGATGGTGAAGTCATCATTTGGCGGTGGGACTTAGTTTTGAAGTTAGAGATATTTGAAGTCCAAGATCTATCTAGGGTAGTTTTACATAGGTGGTAGCAAGTTAAGGGATGCTTTTTATTTTAATTGTCTTAGTAAATTGACCATACCTGGTGCATATGAAAATATTACCAATTGCAATAAGCTAAAACATTAAAACTAAGTTCAACCGTCAAATTCTTACTTCACCATCGTCCATTTTACCATGAGTACATTAATATAGATAAAAGGGTAATCGGAAAATCAGAAAAGTTCCACTACTAAATTCATCGAAAATACCGATTACCAAGGTACGGCGTTTTTGGTATTTACCAAGGTGTTGTATTTCTAGTAATTGTCGAGGTAATACCGTACATACTGGGATCAAAATTTGAAATGCTTCTTGCCCTACTTTAAAACAACCCATTGCAAATTTTAATTAAATATTGTCATGTTTTTTTTTTTAAAGACAAAAAATGTAAACAGCAATAGTGTTCTTCTGCGCCGTTATTACTGTAAAACATTCAATTCTCTAAACCATATTATGAAAAATAAAAATGAGTGTTACTGTGACCCATCTTGCCATCTTGGTGTGTCTCGAAAGGTCATTGCACGAAGATTGTTCATTAATCGTTATTATTCGATTATAATCAATTAATTCGGCACTAAATTATTTTATTTTACTTGTTAGTTGTTTGTACCATAAACATTTAAGTTAATAGAATTATTTTTTTGGAGCCTAGATTATTTCTAAACTGCTTCTAAAAAACACGTTGGTTGTTTTAATTCGTTACATTGTTTTTTGAAGTTCTAGATTAAAGTTAGAACCTTTTTTTAACATTACATATCTAATGTATATTGTATAAATTATTTTACTTTTCGATATTATTAATTCATTAATCATACTAATGCTGTATTATATTGGATGGTCCAGCAATTTTACGAATTGAATGGACTACTTTTTAATATTCAAGGATCCATAAAATTTTCAAAAGACACTTGTTGAATTCGTAGCATATGATATGCGGTATCGTGTTAGTAATTTCTCGTAAAAAAGAAATTGTTAGGTACTTGTTCAAATTACTCGATTATGTCCCATATGTTCCAATTATGTAATTACATAATAGTCAAACAAATTCCAATTAAAAAAAAAAAAGAGTTCGAATACAGCTCCTAGCTGTTTATAGTAACTCGTTTGTCGTTTCGCATCACTCACAATGAAACGATGTTTCATTATTTATATAAACTTAAGTAGTAAAGATAATGTTTTTTTTTTATCTGTAAAACAATTTTGAGTTAAAAGTATATAGTGTGCTTAATTCTAGACGTAGTTAGAATGTTATGAAATTATGATTAAAATTACGTAAATCAATTTTGATGCCAAAAAAAGTATCAAAATCACAAATAAACTACTGAAAAAACAAAATAATTTATTGATTAGGATTAATGAAATTAATAAATCAAAATAAAATGCTCATATTATGTATAATTAATAACTTTTTCTCCCTTCTAGAATCGTGTGTAATCTGGAATTAGCAGAATGAATTGTTTGTATTTATTGCATACTAAGTACGATTTAAATTTAAATTTATGACGTACCATAATGCCCAGATGTTGATGATTAATAAAATATTGCTTAAAATAGATTTAACTAAGATTTTTATTTTGTTGTTATCGATATTTATATTTATTTAAGAAATATTTTGTTTTATGTTTATGTTGGTTGTAACCAGGTCATGTTTTGTGGTCATTTTATCATGTTTATAGTGATCACAAAAATGTTACCATAGTTTCCATATATTATAAGTTTATAAGTATGGTGTTTAGTGTTGACTGTTGACCCTTCCCTTTCATTCAAATTTATATCCACACCAATAGGGTTTAGTTTAGGCTCAGCTCATGTTGTTTCCTGTTTGTAAATATGTTCCTATGGGCAACCTTGTACAATATTAATGAACATGGAAATAATTTGTAAAAGGTCAAGTTCATTGTCATTTTAGTTGTTGTACAGGTACATTACTATATTCCCTTAAGAATAATGTCCAATAAATAATTATATCATTATTGGTTGATTTTATTCTGTAAAGATATGTTTTTTAAGTAAGTAGGTATATATATATAATATATATATATATAATACCTACCTTGCTATTGAATAATATTTATTACTATTATTAAATGTTATACCCAAAATGTATTTTTACATTTTTTTCTTAGTATAAAGTATTTACTAACAATTTATATTTATAGTTATTTAAATTTAAAATTTTTTCTTTTGTTTTCAGGTCGTATCCACAAGGCAGTTGTGTCTAGGATGAATCCAGATACTAGAAGCATTTCAGTTGAGTGGCTAGAAAATGGTGAAACAAAAGGCAAAGAGGTATGACAAACTCTTAAGATTCAAATTTTATTTCAATTTATTTCTCACCATTTGTTTTATTTATAGATTGATTTAGATGGGATCTTGGAACTGAATCCTCAATTACGTTCAAATATTCCTAGTATTAATATGGTTGCTCAAAATGGTACTAATATACCAACAACAAGCAAGTTAGCAAGGGTAAATTTAACTTTTATGATGACTTTTTATTGTGTACAAATTCAATGAGGCTTTAACTTAACATTAAGAAATTAGTTATGAATCAATAATATTTTTTAATTTAAGATGTAATAGCTAGATATTATCTCTCATACTAATTATACACGAGCTGTAGTAATATCTTAAAGAAAAATTCAATATACAGTGAAACTCATCTTAAAAGACACCTCTCTTAACTGACTTTTTATGGTCCTGTGAATGTCCCTTATAGGCAGGTTTTACTGTAATAATAAAAAAACCCAGTTAACTAAGGTTAATTATTCAAATGCTAACAGTTGTCAGTTGTGTTAAAAATGGTACCAAATGTTATTGTCACCTTTGTGTGTTCGATAGCTAAAACAAGTTTCGATTTGAATATTGTTTTGTTGGTGATCGATGAAGTCATTGATGAAGTATAAAAGACATTAGTTACCTGCCGATATATATTTCTTATGAAATTCTGGGCCTCTCTTAGTTTATACATTTTAGTTATAAATGTAATGTAATACAATTTAAATAATTTATAATAACAATAATAATTAAATATTCACATTTATATTTTCAGTATTCCACAAAAGCCTCGATACAAGCATTTACAAATAATAAAGGCAAGTATTTATTTTACTTTGCTAATTTAATAAATAAAAATTTAAATATAATTAGATAACTACAGTATATATAAAAAAAATTTAAATAAAAATAATAAATTGAAGAAAAAAGTGTATGTTAATTCAATAACTATAAATATTCTATTTTTTATGTATAATTTTTCAACTATAAAGCTTAAGTTTTACCGCTTTTATTTTTAAATTTAATTACTGATCAAAAATTATTGAAATTTTTAAATATTAAACTGTATAATACAGGAAATCATTTTAATGATATTTACATTTTTTAGGTTCTTATAAAGGAACAAAACCAGTTAGTAGACAAACCAATCATTATTCACCTGCAGTGAATGGCACTGGAGAAGTTTTGTCAACAACTGTCCCATGTACACCTTTAAACCCTCCAACCCAGTATCAACAAATTCCTGTGTTAAAACCAGCTGATCCTCCACCTCAAACACAACAATTAACCCATTTGTATAGCAATAATACGGCAGGAGCAATCCGTGGCTCAAATACTACTGCAGCAACATCAGCTGCAGCTGCCGCTGCTGCTGCTGCAGCCGCCAAAGACAGGCGAAGTAATGTTGTTAAGGAAGTAGCTAAATTGAAAAAAAACCGAGAAGAAAGGCGACAACGTCAAGCTGAATTAAAAGAAGAAAAAGAAGCATTAATGAACATGGACCCTGGTAATCCAAATTGGGAATTTCTTGCTATGATAAGGTGTGATTGTTATAAATAACCAACTTAATTCAGTTGCCATTTAATATTTATATGCAAATGTTTTATATTTTAGAGATTATCAATCTAATTTAGATTTTAAACCTTTGAGAGACTCTGAAGTAGTTGAAGATCATCAAATTACTGTTTGTGTCAGAAAAAGGCCGCTCAATAAAAAAGGTATTTTATTTTTAAAATATTTTGAGTTGATGAATAACATAACTTTTCATGCTATTATTAAAAAAAATACTTTAAAAATTTGTAAAAAAAAAAGACTGTTATTATATTTATAATTATTTCCATTTCCAGAATTGAATCGAAAAGAAGTTGATGTTGTTGCAATACCATCTAAAAATCAGGTTATTGTCCATGAACCAAAAAACAAAGTAGATCTTACAAAATACTTAGAAAACCAGCATTTCCGATTTGATTATGCCTTTGACGAGACTTGCACCAATGAGACGGTGTATAAGTTAGTAATAAATTGATAATTTAATTAATAATTGTTTTCATTTCATAAAAACATATTTTGAATTAAACTATTTTTATTTCAACTAGATATTCTGCAAGACCTCTTGTAAAAACTGTATTTGATGGTGGCATGGCCACATGTTTTGCTTACGGACAAACCGGCAGTGGTAAGACTCACACCATGGGTGGAGATTTCCATGGTAAAACACAAGACTGTAAAAAAGGCATTTATGCAATGGCTGCTAAAGATGTTTTCCGTTTTCTTAATTCACCTAGTTATTCAGCATTAAATCTGGTTGTTACTGCCAGTTTTTTTGAAATTTACAGTGGCAAAGTAATTGACAATAATTAATTATTCATTTATAATGATTAATTATTAAAGTTTATTTACATTTATCCTTAGGTGTTTGACTTGCTGGGTGATAAAGCCAAATTAAGAGTACTCGAGGATGGTATGCAAAAAGTGCAAGTAGTTGGTCTTACTGAAAAAGTAGTCACTACAGTAGATGAAGTTTTGAAAATAATCAATGATGGTAACAGTGCTAGGTAAATATTTATATTTTTTAATAATTAATGATTGAACAATACCGTGAAAACATACATTTTTTTGTCTTAGAACTTCAGGTCAAACATCAGCAAACAGTAACTCTTCAAGGTCTCATGCTGTTTTCCAAATCGTATTACGTATCCCAGGCTTAAATCAAATACATGGAAAATTTTCATTGATAGATTTAGCTGGAAATGAAAGGGGTGCAGATACATCATCAGCCAACCGACAAACACGTAATAATTTTTGAAAATTCTTTTTGATTATTTATCTTTATTTATCTGTAATTTATTTATTTAACTCAGGAATGGAAGGTGCAGAAATAAATAAATCTCTACTTGCATTAAAAGAGTGTATTCGTGCTCTAGGGAAAAAAGGTTCTCATTTACCTTTTAGAGCAAGTAAATTAACACAAGTACTTAAAGATTCCTTTGTTGGTGAAAATACTAAGACCTGTATGGTGAGTCAATTTTCACAGAAATATATAGTGTATATTATATAAAATGTTTTTGGTAAATATATGTATAATAATAATTTTAAACATTTTTTTAGATTGCAATGATAAGTCCAGGACTTAGCTCATGTGAACACTCTCTGAACACGCTCCGTTATGCTGACCGTGTTAAAGAATTGGATGCATCAGATCCTGCTGCTGAAGAAGTTCAAGTGCCTATGTATTCTTCACCACCAAATCGTTCTCCGAACATGTCTCGTAATTTACAAGATGTCAGTATGGTCGATGATGATTTAGCAGCACTAAGATCGCTTAATGTTAGTATCCTAAATGTATATATATGTTGTAGTTATTTTTTTTTTTAAATACAGTTATAAAATTTAAATTAAATTGAATTATTAAAGAAATTTGTTCTGATAGGAGGGTGAATTGTCTGCTGACTTGTACAATTTTCACGAAGCTGTTTCCCAACTGCAAGAACAAGAAGATGAAATGCTAGAAAAACACAAGTCATTAATAGAATCTGGACAGAAATGGTCACAAAAAGAAAAACAGTTGTTGGCAATGACTAAACACGTTGACTACGATCAAGATGGTAACCAAGATCAAAAAACCTGTTTTCTTGTAGCTCTCCAACTTTTAGCTTTACCCTTCGCTTATGCTTTTTTTTTTTTTTTTATTCTCCCATTGCTGGAACTTGGCAATTTCCAAATGAAATAATCCAGCTTATTGTTATAAAAATCAAAAAAAAATCCTTTGTTGAATTTTTTTTGAATTTTGAATTAACTTAATTTTCTTAGTATTTCATCAGTATTATTTATTATTTATTCTTAAGCATAGTTTTATAATATTACCTTTGGAGTGTTTATTTTCTTCTCATCTTTGATATTTTGATATTGCTACATTTATTTATTTTTTTTGCATAATTTTGTTGTTACTTGTGTATTATTATTCAAATTTTTCTTACGACTCTTTGAAACATATTATGTATGTGATATAAACAATATTATTACATAGTTATTTCGATTAAGTAAAAAAAAAAAAAAAAAACAATTGAGACTCAAAAGATTTTTATTTTCAATATGACATTTCACTTAAAAAGGCGCACATTTAAATCATATTTATAAATATTTCAGAAATGAGGAACATTAATTGTAATGTTTTTTCTTTTAATCGTAGTTTCTAATATTTTTTAATTTTTAATTTTTATAGCTGCGTATAACTTGTACTAGAGAGTTTATCTTTAAATACACTTTACCAAGATATAGATGTACAAAATTCCAATATCCAATATTAATTATTGAATATTTAAAAATAATTTTTTTTTATTTTTATTTCTGAAGTCTAAAAAATTAGAATATATATACATATGTATATATTTAAACCAATCTTAATATTAGTATTCTTTGTTCAATTTCTAGTGAAATTTTCTAGTAACCTACTTTAATTTAATTTTAACATTTATCTGAATTTTAAGGTATGTGTATAAAAGAAATAAGCCGTCCAACTGTTAACCATTAGTATTATTAAATAAAGCAACACGAGTAATTTAAAACATACTTTAATTAGAAAATGAAGTTGTCTGTCCAATTGCTCATTTAAAACCCGTCAACAGGTTTAAGTCTATCTAGTCTTTATTAATGTTTGTAATTTTCACTAACATTTTACCATTATTTATACAACCAAATATTATTGCATTTGTTCACAGTTACGCATTTATACTTTGGTAGCTTGTACTATAAGGTTGACTCCTTGTATTTATTTATTTATTTAATATAATATGTTTAAAAAATTATTTTTATCAAAAGTATTTTTTTTTACACTCCTTGTTTTTTTTTTTCTATTACATTTAAAATGGCCGATATTGTTAGTACTGATGTTTTAGTAAAATACCTGGTATTAAGTTGGTTTTCTTGATTGTGTGTGTCTGCTTTTTGATTTTATGAATTATTATGTACCTGTGTTCATTTGAAATATTTTTTGATTTATTATTAAATGTTATGGATCATTGGAGTGTTGCATTCTAAATTGTATTGTTTTTCCAGCGTATTCATTGCAGCTGCTCAATTTGCTTCAAACCAGATTAGCTGCAAATCAAGATCTAGTTGAAACTGTGCTTGCATTCAGAAAACAGTTGACAACTGAAGAACAATTCAGTCAGAACATAATTAGAGGCAGCCACCGTTAGAKACAATGTTATTTTATTATTGTCCTCTATGTGTACTCGTTAAGTCTTTGTTTTTGTAATAAAATAATATGATGAAGTAGAAAACGCATGAGAACATTTCTATTTTTGTCATATAGATACTGATTTTATGTGATTTTTTCAGTGATGCTACTATTAATGGCCAGCAAATACTTGTAAACTCTAACAAGTGTTTGCCGGTTTTACCTACTTAATAATTTACTACATCGCTTTAATTAAGTTTTTAACCTCAAAGAACTAAACCCTTATTATTGTTACGAGCATTATAAATTTGTTCTTCTAACTTTAAATACCTTTAGTTATATATATTTTTAATTATATGTATTTTTTCTTTTAACAAGCATTTATTCGTATTTTTTTATTTTTTACTATAAATTCACATATTATTTTAATATATTATATCTTAGCAGTTATTTAATTACAACTTTTCTAATAAAAACATACTATAAAGGAAAAAGCAAAATTAAAATTCAATATTCAATCAAGTTTTTTTGAATGCCTATTTTTGTAAAATATAAAACAATAATATAATGTTACAATAATATTTAATTAAACCAAGAAAACTATTATTACATTTATTTTATTGTTTATGTGCAAATAGTTGTTCAGGCTTTACAATGTTGGAATAAGTACCTATTTTTTTAACATTTTTTGTAAGTCCTATGTTTCATTGATTATTAATGATTGGAGTATAATTTTTTAAAACAAAATTATTTTCGAGTTTTTCTTTTCTTTTGTGTTTATTGTTACTATATTTTATACTATACTTTAATTTTTTTAGGACAATGTTCAGTGCTAACCTCTGTTTATAGCTATTACAGACCATTATGCAATGTGCTTTTTATTATTTAAAGTTAACTGTTACTACCTATATATTATATTTGAATGATATTCATTTACATGAATATATGTGTTAAATTGTTTTTCAAATGTTGACATTTTTGAATTTGGGAACTAATAATTTTTTATTGAAAAATACTAAGCAATATTAACACTTATAATCATATTTAAAAAATAAAAAAAGCTTACCTTGTTATAGTTCATTGAAACTACTAATATATATTATTATATTATATGGTCAATGATCAGCATAAATATTTTTTTCTGTTTTTGTTTTATATTCTATTTAAATTCTCCACAATTCACTTACGTTTACACATTCATTTTTTGTTGATCATCAGCAGGGATCAGACAAAGTAACTTAAATATATCATAATAAATATTGAGATATATTGTAGGATGATAATTATTTTAATTTTATGAGTATTCAAAATTATCTGAAAAATAATTATTGGTAACTGTTTATATATATTTTTTTGTGTTGCGGTTATCTCCTATATATGAAAAATTACAAATGTATTCAAATTCTAAATTGCTTAATATCTTTTTAAGATTTTGAGCGGAGCAATGCATTGATTTAAAAATGTTAAAATTTGTTAAGGTACCATCATTAAAATGAGCATTAAAAAATTTTAAATGTTGAAAGTAATTTATGTTAAATTGATAGTTACTTTATATTGACAGTTTGAGTTTAAAATTACAGGTCTTATTCAGTCATAGGTAAAAGTGTAATATTAATCACCTAAATACCTTTTTAAAAACTTGATAAAATTTGACATCTGACATTAATCTTTTTTAGTAAAATTTGAAAGAAGTCATGAACACTTTCACAACCTTGTAATAACAAATTCTAAACCAAACATTTAACCAGAGTAAAAAAAATAATTATGTTTATAATATAAATTGTCAATTTAAAAGAGAAGGGCAAAGTTCCATTGGGTTACTTTTTAGAGAAACTTTTGGGGGCTTCAACATCAGCAATATTGCAATCAATCTAAAAGTTATTTAGTGCCATATTTTAAGAGCCCTATTTTCTGACCCTTGGCATCGACTAGGGTCCGTGGCCCAGTACCACATTTTTGCTAGTGGGCTCCGGCTCATGTGTTGAAACCAATGACGTAGATGATTAAGGATCCAGATTGGTCATAAGATGCTACCAACAACTGGATATGTACATAAAGTTTTTGAATACCAACTATTGTCCTTGAATGAACGTACCAAAAACTACAGATCAGTGAATTCAATAAATAAAAATTAGGTGTTTATTTTACAGAACTTTGAGGCAATCTTAACAACAACCATAACCACAGCGATGGACGTTAACTGCAGTGTTGTTTTCAACGTAAATATTTCTTCTAATGAATTGATACTCGACAATGTTTCGCCGCTCTGGCAGCATATGTAATTATAGGGCATTAGTCCTGAAAAAAAAATAGTTTGATAACATTTAAATAATTTGAAATTAGAAATATTTTTAATATTTGGATTAAATATTAACACATTACTACAATTTAAAATTATTACTATAAAAAACTATTTAGTATCCACCAGACATACCGAAAAACGTTGTGTAAATAAAAGTCCAAAGAGGAATACTGAACACCGGCGCAAGCAGGTTCAAAAGCCAATTTGGAGTAATTGGAATGATGCGCAAGATTAGTAGCAAGTACCAAAGTTGGTGTTTGTTATTTTTCACCTGAAACAATTGCACCATTAAGAACGTTATAGTCATCACAATTTAAATCATATTATGTTTAAAAAATATATGGTGTTTTGCTTACCAAATTTCCCACAGTAGTTTTCGATGAGGTCAGCGTACCAGGGAAGTAATTCATTAGAAACGCCTCAACGCCACACACTTTAGACAGGAGGTAACATGCAGACACACCGATACTGGATAGCGTGCACACCAGTAGCATTCCAAGACCAGAACCAAACAATGAACCCGCAATCAAGTTCTGAAAAATGATGGGATAAGACACTGCAGTGCTCCGAAATTAGACAATGTTTGATTTAAACAAAAAATTTTAAAGGATTGTGGCCACAAAATCCTTTACTAAGTAAACACATACATATTTTTTTTCAAAAAATTATAATTTTTAATTTATTTGTATTCTATATCCTATTTAATTATTCGTTAAAACTTATATTCAAGTTTTTATTTAATTTTAGATAATTTTTATTCATTTATGTTATAGAAGTTCTCAACTTCTAGGTGAAAAAAAATGTTTGCACTTTAGCAGCACAAATTTTATCGATATTTTTACTGTTCATTATATTTCTAATGAAATTAAGTATGCGAAAACCAAGATTTAATACATTTACTAAGCTCCTATATTCAGAATTGTTCATACATTTTATATATTATAAGATATCAACTAGTGTTGAGTATCAAATCTGGATCAATCTATATCTTGATTGAAACAAAATTTACAATACATTTAATCTGGATTATAATATGTTTTGAAAACGATTATTAATAAAATTAATCCGGGTATATTTTCTAAAAGCGTTCTCATAACATTGAGTTGATTGTTATAGATCTGAGATCGTATATTTGTATTATTTATGTTGACAATAATGAAAAAATAGCTGATTAACAATGAGCAAGATTGGATCCGAAATCTGAAATTACGGATCGACGGATTGGATCCAAAATTAGAAATTTCGGATTGATCTGAAATTCAAATTGAATAATATTGTAAGTTGTAATCTGGATCGGTCAAAAAAATGCTCCGCACTAATATCAACCATGGCTGCTAAACCTACTTAGTCAACAATTTAAATTATAAAAATGTGGCCTAAGTAATAATGGCATTATTAAAGGAATAATAATGTAAATGTTCCAAAGTTCATAAAATATTTTGTTACTTACTTAAGCATATTTTTTTTTTATAGTTGTATAATTTAAACAATATATTCTAGGTAAACATTTTAGTAAAATTAAAACAATGTTTTTGTCATGTTAACATTTAGTTTCAGACCACTGTTGAATGTTGATTGAGTACTCTTAGACAGTGGGTACAATCTTGTATCACCACCACAATCAATGCACACTTACCAGTATGACAGAGCCTGGTATGCAAAAGGCCTGTTTAATAATGTAAACAGTACTGAACAATGTAAGCATATATAGGTAGTTGTTATTGTAATGATTTCTTAAACACGAGTTGAGTTCCATTAATTCAGCCATGCTCTTGGGAATCGCCATTTTGATGCGGCACTAGATGAACAGAAAATCATTGTGACAAAAATTAATATAAAATGTAACATACAGTAGTCAAGTGGAACCAAAGTCCATATTCAGGTCTGTTGACACAATAATTCTTAGTTCTAGGTCAATGAATGGGTATTTGTCTACTATATTAAACATAGTTAATTAGTCACTCAAGTACTCAAGTTGGGATTTACCATAATATTCAGGACTCGGATTTAGTATTGAAAATAACTGAAATATGCGCTATAATATAACATATAAGAAATCTTAAAACAAGTACTGTAATATGCTCTAAATATATGCGGCAATGCCGCAGTGAAAATTTATTTTATTCACAATTCAAAAAAAATACATACGAGTCGCAATTATTTATTATCCGATAAGCCAATTTGCTAGACTACTATAAAATATTTTTATTAAAAATTTGGATATTCATATTTTTTCTATGGATTAAAATAAATAGGTAACACACTTTTTATATTTTTCATAATGTAAACTAGATTCATGGAAATACAAAATAAATTGTTATTTTATGGAAATTAGCAATAAATAGTACCAACATTTGAAAAATAGCATTAAAAGTCTAAAATACTTCAAATATTAAAAAAAAATAACATTATAATATGTTTTATATTTAGTCCATGGTGCATACAACAAATTTATAGCTTAACCTGCTATTTATATCTGCATTCTACAACAATTAGCAAATGCTATAAAATCCAGGCCCTGGTAATATTTATCATTTTATTTATATTTAATCATATTCAAGGTTTGTATTTCTGTAAGAAAATATTACGAAAGAAGACCAATTCAGCCACCCACATGCATATGGATAGGAAAATAATATTCCAAGTTTTAATTCATTTGAGTTGATAAATGGCAATCTTACCTGATTATCGGTGGGTGGAGCATTTTGGACGAGAAAGTACAATCCGAGAATAGAAGCAAAAAACAGCGGGACCACCAGAAGTACCCGCAAGAAAGCCATCTGTGGAAAAAAAAATTTAATACTCAATTATATAAATATAGTGTGAACCTTCGACGAAAGAGCAGGATAAGTGTTTATAAATAATGTGATGAAACAAATATCCGTTTGGCATCAGTGAGTATGAGATTATTTACAGCACCTATTCTACTGTCAACGTCGACTAAGTGATCATTGTAATCTCAGTGTTTATTAAGTTTATTTAAAATGCAACTATTATTGTTCTATAAAGATTATAATATATATTTTTATTTTTTACTTATAATAAAGGCTTAGACAGCTAGGTCATTAGCCTATGCAGTGGCGTAACTAGCAGCAAATGTTTGGGGTAGCGAACACTTTTATATAACACTTATACGCATATAACTTCCTCCTAAATTATTTAAAAATAATCATAATACTTACAGTTTTATAACACGAAAATTCACAAATAACATATTTTTTTCTTGATAACTATTTAAAGATAAATAAATAGTAAATACACACTGACGCGGATTTTTTTTATTAAATTATATAAATAATTTTGGGGTAGCAAAATGATACTCTTGCGACCCCATAAAAATGTTTAGGGTCACGATCGCTACCTCTCCCTACCCCATAGTTATGCCACTGAACCTATGATTGAATTTTAATTATTATTGATGGATAGTGAAGTTCTGATTAGGTATGGACATGAAATCCAATTATCTGAATATCGATTTGATTTAAATTCTTATATGGATTTGCTTATAATGAGACTAATACAATTATTTTTAATGTATAGTATAATAAATTATTTTATTATAATGAAAATTTAACAGAAAATTAATACTTTAGTTTTATGTTACCACTGGTACTTGAAATGTGTTCGAAATTCGGTAAACCGAAAATTATTTTATAGAATTAAAATATTATTAGTATATAAAAATGAGTCATTGAACAGCAATATCGAGTTGAATAATCCAGATACTCTGGATAATCTGTGAAATCAAATTAAAATTAGTAAATCTGGATTTGACAAATCCGAATATGCCCACCACTAATTGTAGTTGGTGATTACATGGTTACGAGGTAAGTAGTGTTACAGAATCGAATATTTACATTTTTATAAGTTGAACGGGTTTATCTTAATATACAATTTTTGAGTCGATTCCGATGGATTTGAAGAAGCTATGAATCAAGTTGTGTGTATTATGTTCTCCTAGAACTCTATTCATCGATGTAGGTTGGTTGATGATGATTCTTGTGTAATAATAAATTAGACCGCTTAGTTATAATATTATTACCAGTCCTGTAAAGAATACTTTAATTGTAAAGTATTTCAAATACTACTCAAATACTTTTGGTTTTTAAAGTAGGTTTCTAATTATTTATCGTAATATAGACACATAGTAAGTTTGTAATAATTTTTATTTATTGAATAAATGTTTGTTATATTTTAAGAACATAATGTTATCAAAATGTTCATTGGTCATATTGCTTCTCTTTTAGGTCATGGTTGCTCCACCCACACTAAATACCCGCTCCACTGAAGCACTGCTTGGCAGCGGAGTATTGARTTTAATGAAAAAATAAAATGTTCGAAATAAAAAACCAAAGTATTCAATAGTCAATACAAACAAGTACTTAATACAATAATGCTTAAAAAACTTCATGCTGAAAGTATTTAAAAAGTTATTCAATACTTAAAAAAGTATTTGAATACTTTTACTCAAATACTTTACAGGACTGATTATTACACACAACTTACCCATTCGCTGTGATCGTCCGACAAATCAGATATCGGACTGATCACTGATCAGTCTCTTATTCAATCGTTGCTCGTCCTTTATTTGTTTCGATTCGAATTTCGAGTAACAAACATTTACTTCATTCTCGAAAACGATTTAATTTTGAACGGAGAGCCGACGATGCTGAATTGCCGACTATATTATTATAATTTCGGTCTTATCAAATTTTCTTATCGCTCTCGCTCCGGTCCACGATTAAAGATTCATGTTGTATTCATGAGCAACGGAGTCCGATACGGAACGGTTCGCATCGCTGCCCGCTCCACGCTGGCAAATTGCACGACGCACGTGCTCGGGCGACTTCGCCTTGTACAGTTGTACACAATAATGAATAATTATATAATATTTAAAACCATTTTGTCTGACAGGGGCCTACCTAGGAATTATGAAAGGGGGGGGGGCTCTACATTTTAACATGTCAAAAGTACAAAAAAAGTGGTTTCAAAAATGTTAAATAGACATCACCTTTTTTTATATTTAAAAAAAATCATGGATAAGCTTTAGGGCAGTCGTTTTATTTTTAGAAATTTAGAATTACTATAGAGTCAGCATCTGTATTTATTTGAACTAAAGAATAAATACAATTTATAAATTATTACCATGAGTCATGACAATAGTTTTCTAGTGTTTACACAATATCATGTTTCCACAAAATTAAAAATATTTTACCTATAGTTATGTTACTTTGTCAACAACTAGCCGTCCGATCCAACAATTGGGCCGATTTTGCTATAAGACATGTGCAAATGCTTATATCTTGCTCTCCCTCAAAGCACATAATTAGATACTTTTTTTAGGGGGGGGGGAGTTTAAACGAGATGTGTATGGAAATATTTTGCTACTTCATAAGCAATACTGAGTAATATAAGTAATATAGCTGTATTCAATAGATATTAGTTGAATTAAATGCGCTATGATGTAGGTGCCTACAGAAAGAAAAAAAAAACCTAGGTAAATGCAAAACAGTATTTTGATTTTTGTTCAGTTAAAAAAAATAAATATCAATAATATTAAGTTCAATGATCAATTATAAATATACTATTATTAGTGATACACTAAGTGTTAGCTTCAATAGTGGACTAAAAAGTAACGGAAATAAAACAGGGGAAAAATGCTGCTGGTAGACAGGACGACACCAATGATATTAATAATGATAGGGCATTGTTCGCTGAACGTAAATAATACAATTGTTAAGATAGATAAGTATACGAGGTTAATATGAGGCAACAGGCCGACAGATAACTCATCACATTGAATACAAACACAAAGAGAATAAATAAACATAATAATTATAATAAATCACACTTAAGTAACGAGAGGTGTATAGATGAGGATGGAGGTCGGCTAGAAAATAGTTGCTGTCACGCAGAAAATGGACAACAATGAGTTGATTACTTTGGCGCAAACAGGTAATAAATTAAAATATTACAAATATAATGTATATCAATTACAGATTTTGAACACAAACATGATTAATATAGATTGTGTACGTGATAATAATTTATTTTAATAACAAAAGTAAAAAATACAACACTAATGTAAAACACAGCACTTAAAAGGAACAACAAACAAATACTAGTATAATATTGACTGTAACAAATCATAAATAAATAGTAACATAAAAAAGATAATTTTGCTTAAACAAAGAATACACTGTTCTAAAAATATAAATCATAAATAGGTGTTGTAATTAACAGCGTAATTTTGACTCCTCAATTATTATGTTTTTACTTACCTATAATATATCTTATGATTTGTATAATACATTAAGTATAGGACTAGTGGCAGTAAAAAAGGTAACTTTAAGCTTTAGCTAATTTAAAAAAAGATAAGTATCATAAACTAAGTTATATAATACAAAATCAGATATTTTGACATTTGAGATAAATCATTAATAATGATTTACTCGAAAACAACTTTTTTTAATAAATCAAATAACAAATTACTTATAGGTCAAAGTTTATGTGCAATTAAAAATTTTTTTTAATATATTGGAAGGCTTTTAACTCGAGTTTGAAGCTATAATTTAAAGGTTCTGGGTACAGATCATTGGAAAATAAAAACTCTGGAATTATAGATATCTACACTAAAATGCTAAGTTAGGGTAAAAATATGGTAGTAAGTACATTAAACATACACATACGTTAGCATTTTAAAATGATGGTGATAATAATAATCCAGCTGTGTCATGAAATTGTAGTGATTTGACTATAGCCCAAATGATGATTTAAGAATTTTTTCTGCTTCAATTTTGGCCTAAAAAGTATATATGGTCAAATAATGAAATATTACACATAATAATAATTGCATTCTTATCAATAAAAATAATAGAAACAAAAAATAATTTTGCCTCTAATACTCTTATAATTTTTTTCTTTATCAATTATATTTCATAACTAGGACATAGGTGAGTATTAAATCCTATTTTAGAAAAGATCATTTACATAAGATATATACAATTGTTACATAAGTTTAGTAAAAAGTTAATATATAATAAAACTAAAAAAGAATATTATAAGTTTAATAAAAATGCCTATAGGGTAACATGATGATTTCTAAAAAGTATTAACATTAATGGAATAAAACTCAGTTAAAAATATAGTTCACTTACAATTATAATAAAGTACTAAACCTATTTAGATTGTGTACAAAATTACTGAAGCAACAAAATTGAAAAAAAATAAATAATTCAGATACTTAAATAAAGATATCAATATAGAAGTATAAGTAACCATTCACAAAATAATATGTTTATTAAGGTCTCCACGATCAAAAAATATATAAATAAAGTAGATAACCAACTCAGAAAAAAATGAGTTGTAATGAATCTGCCAAGCAATGAATTCAAATTAAAATCTGATAGTTACCTGATGGTCCTCAACAGTTTTAACAGGATATTGAGTGACTAATTTCAGATAATATTCAGCACTAAACTTGTTGTCCATTTTCAAAAATGTTTTTCCCAACATAAGAAGATTTTTGCTGTAAAATAAATATAATAATTAACAATTCACAAAAAGATAAATTAAGATTAACACATCAAGTAGACTGTACCAGTAAAACTTAGGTTGAATTGATTCAGCTTCTCTAAAACATTCTAATGCTTCTTCATATGTCGACTCGGGAATTTCAGTTCCAAATATGATTGATCCAAGCTTTCTCCGAAACCAAGATAAATCAGCAAGATTGTAATTCCTTAAAATTATATAGTTAAAGTGTTACACTAATAAATTCAGTATTCAATATGTAAAAATAAAATAATAATACCCAATCAAAGTTTAATTTTAACTGATCAACGAGCTGATCAATGTAACATATTTTTAAAAATGGAATTATGTATTTTTTCTACCTCTGTTATACATTAAAATGCGTACAAATATAAAAAATATATATTATATTACATCAGGATAATGAATATATCCCACAACTTTAAGTTCTAGAAACTTGATTAATAAATAAATACAATCAAATATAGTTATATTCAAGCGAGGATCAATGGATTAGCAATATGCTCATGCTTAGGACAGAATTTGAAAAATTTTATATAATAAAGTCGATGCCAGATAAACTAAGTAGGTGGCGGCGACGCTTTTTGTTAGGTGTAAACCCAAACTATAGTAGTGGTGCGCGTCGACCTCGTAGAGTGCCTCAGTCGCTCATCAATTTGTTTATTATAAATGTATAAATGTCTTGCCTGAAATCCAAGTACAAGAAACCCTGGTTGTTTGTCATCATGATGTCATTGCCTGCTCAATTTATCTAGCAGCGACTGTAGTTACATGTAAAACGGGATAAAACTTATGTTTACTTTGATGTGTTTAAGAGGATGCCACATCCGCTACATTATCTCCGTCCTACAAACGCAGAACAAAGTAAAAAGTATACTTGAGCTGGAAACTGTTCTCCTTCAGTATTTATAGTAGAATTATCAGAATTCCACAACGTATAGGTAAGGACTTTTTTCTGTYATAGCGTAGTTATTTTTTTGATGGTATAAACAACAATTTTTAATAATTAAATAAAAAATTTTTTTTTTTCTTAAGCTAATAACTTTAATTATATGTAAGTTAAAAAAATAATGACGCAATGATACAGATAAAGTTCTTACCTATCTGTTGTGGAATTCTAATAATTCTAGCATAAATACTGAGGGAGAACAGTTGTCCCTTGCAAGTACAGTTTTTGCTTTGTTCTACATCTGTAAAACAGAACCAATACATGCTGGTGAGGTGTCCTCTTAAATACTTGAGTCGTGTCTAACCATAATGTACTATGAAAATTGAAAACCTTACCAATAACCAATCATGTATCGTATAAATGGATCTTTTGGGTTCAGTTCCAATGCCATCTAGAAAATGATAATAAGAAATTAATTAAGTGATACAAATGTTAAAAGGTCACTATGCCTAGTAAATGTACAACATAATAAATTTATGTAAAGTAGACTTGATTTTGTGATGTTGCTTTGATATTAAGAATGAATTGACCTATAATCAAATTTGAATGTAAGATATATCTTATCTCTCATCAGTTTTCTTATATTTTAATTTTTAAGCAAGTTATGAGTATGTTAAATAGTAAACCATAAAATGTACAAATACATCGAACTTATCTTGCTTAAAAATTAAAATATTGCAAAAAAAAAAAAAACAAAGCATAACAGATAATATTATAATAAGTTAGTCCCGTACCCAAGATTTGTTTTCAGGGGGGCGGGGTTTAAACATTCATACTTAACTCTTTAGGAAAATAGGAAATAATTTAAAAACAATTATGAATATATATATACACATACTATTTGATGTATTATGCATTTATCATATTAATGTAAATAGTTACAATTATAAATCTAAGCTCACCTGTCAATATTATTAGTATGATATTAATCAATTACCCATTACTAAAAAAATACCTCACCTGAGATTTCAGGGGGGGGGAACTTATGCCCAATAGCCCACCTCTTGGATACAGCACGGTGATAAGTTTTTTGTAAGTTTGGTAATAGGTCAATCACTCTAAATATTAAAAACTAACAACATGAAATCGGTTGTATTGAATAAGCGCATATTCTACATTTCTAAGACATAAACAAAACATTTAGGAGTAAGTATCCCCTTAATGTCAATAAAGTAAATGTCACACTTCACATACTTGCAAATGAAATTTAACAGTTTCCAATTTAAGCAATTGTTCTTTGATTCCGAAATTGATATTACTGTAAGCATCAATTAACACAGCAGCCCATTTGTGAACTTCAGATATATTTGAATCAATGCTTAATGCTTTAATGATTGACTCATGTGCTGATGATATCAAAGATTTTTTTTTCTCTTTGCTAATGTTTTCATCTAAACTCATATTGTATTCAGCTTTGCTCAAACGCCATAGTACTTGTACGTCATTATTGTCCTGGAATAAATAATATAAACAATCATAACTATTAGGTTAACAAATATAAAAATATTAACCTTTCATTTTTTTATTATATTCATATATATAATATATAATACAAAAATGTATAACTAGATGTTAACAGATTATGTTATAAATTATCAACTATTTAAATGTTGCTCACTGATAAATACTTTAAAAATTATTAAAAAAAATAAATTATTTTGAATTAAGAATAAAGACCGAATTAGTTGATTTAAACTTAATTTTTATAAATGAAAAATACAATATTTATATGCTGTATGTAATTAATTCAATAAATCTTAACACATCTCAAATAAGTACCCATTAGAATTTACAACTTCAAAAAATCAAAAAATTTGAAATTTCAATATCTACCACTTCTTAAAATCAGTGCCCAGTACCTAGTATTAATTTAAAAAAAATAAAACTGCACACAAGTTTTCATTTGCACTAACATACATAATAATATACATAACAAATCATATTTTTTATGAATTTTGATCATTAAATAGCAATAAAAATAATAAAATCAAACATAATTACCTTGTATTCTCCAAGTAAACGTACTACGTCTTCATACTTATTTGCTAGAAAGAGCTGATCGGCTTCAACAAGTTTTTGTTGTAAAACTAATTTTTTGTCATCAATGACCAAATCGCGTTCGTTGACTTTGGTCAAGCTTGTATTTTTGTTGCCAAAGAAAGGAATGGCTAGGCTAAACGTCACTGGAAGTTGGATCTGCAAAGACAATGAACAGTTTTAGAAGTCAGATAAATTTTAGGCTAAAAATCATCATCTGTGTCACTCCTCCTCAGTCAACCAGTTTTAACACAATAGACAATACTTATTCGTAGCAATAATATCAACGGTCAATGCTCAGCACACTACAACATAAATTTTTAGGTAATTTTTTTATAAATTAACTCAACACTACAAATTAGCACAAATAACGGCCTGATTCATTAATTATTTATCAAAACAATATTGATTTTCTACCAGAAATGTTTAGCAAAACAAAAAAATGTAAACATAATGAAGTTTGATTCCGGGACAATTTGTCGTCACTTCGTCGGGACAGCGGGATGCTATAATAATATAATAATAATATATAATTCTATAATTGGTACATTCCAAGCCAAACTACAAAGTAAAGCGATTAGATATTTTAGCGGCGAAACTCACGTTTGACGATGACTTGACAGCACGGCGGGCTTGCCGGTATCCAGAGGTCCTTGTAAACGATTCGAAAACGAACCAACTGATCTGTTTAACCCGGTTTCGGAACATTTCTGACGATTAAACGGAAAAGTCCGAGTCGCTGCGAATATGCGGTTTAATAATATCCTTGGCCGCCGGCAGCAAATACCGTAGAGTTAACGAGTGAGTATTTGTATACAATACAACTTATAAGCAGGAAATACTCAGCATATTAAAATAAATAGTAATTAATAATTATTAAAGTTCTGAATAAGCAACTTTTGAGTTGGTCAAGAGTCAAGACGTAATGAACATGACAAAATAAATAACATATTAAATAATAATTATTTTGTCAGGGTAATGAATTGAGTAGTGACTAGTGAGTAGACAGTGAGTAGTCGTGACTGAGTACATACTACATAATATATACCATAGATTATATGAAATTTGTGATTATACTATAATCACGGTTCAATGAACTGCGGAGACAATACGTGATAAACTGATAACAGTTTGTTCACAAAAATACATAATGGCAATGTTGGCCCTTGCCACGGATAATAGATATATCTATTATCCGTGGGCCCTTGCCTCCTTGGTAGGTGGTAGCCACGATGTAGATAAAACCACAGACTGTGATAAAACGGTGTAGTTACTATCAATGATACGTATGAGAAATAAATGAGTACCATTTTTACGGCAGTTTAGTTACAGAATTGTCCACCAGGAAGAGCTAAGAAGGCCGATTTGAAAATATTTTATAAGCAATATTGTCTATTTAAGTATATTTGTTTTGAATAATATACATATTATTAACAAATTGATGAACATTGTTTATTTATATTTTATTATTATATAGTACCA